GAAGAAGAAGAAGAAGAAGAAGAAGAAGAAGAAGAAGAAGAAGAAGGAAGAGAAGAAAAACGACGAAGCACCATGGCCGGATGAAAAAGAGATTAAGGGCGTATTATTGGTTTCGCGAGTTACGGCTCGTTTCTTGAGAAAGTTGAAGCGAAGCTGTCGTCGCGAGGACGAGTTCAAAAAGCGCGGCAAACTTCCACTTTAATAAGCCTGAGCTTTCTAAGAGTTCGACCCCTGCCGTTTCCTTATTTATTTCTTTTTTTTTTTCCTTTTTTTTTTCTTCTTTTCCCTCTCCTCTCTTCTCTTCTCTCTATATTTTTATTGCACTCCTACGACTTCTCGCATTTTCGATGCAATTCTATATAAATATAAACTTTCGAAGATATCGGGTTATGCAAATATATAGTGTATAGCGGTCTATGAGAAGGAATAAAAGATGAAGGAATATAATACTTTAACTTTGCGAATTATAAGAATGAAATTTTAGAAGAAAATTAAAAAAAATGTATAAGAATAGATTCCATGTGTAAAGATTTTATGGAATTTCAGATGAAAAGAATCATAAGAGTATAAAAGTTTAATAATAAAAAAAAAAAAAAAGAAATGTGAAATTTGATACGTCTAAGATTTTTTTCATTTAATATAAAAGAAAATTTGAAAATCATGCGTGAATAGAGAACGAAATTTTTTTTAATAAAGATTCTAAATTATTCCGTGTTATTATCTGAATATATCTGAACTTTAATATTTATCTATTATGCATTTCACGATTGTACACATTTTCATATTTTTTACGAAATGCAAGAGATAAAAGATTCATTCCATGTAATATTCATTTTTCTTCTGAGAAAATTGCATTCATATTAATTTTTCAATACATATAAAATAAACGTGTCCGCTTGGAAATATCCATAATAATAATAGTTCCATGGAATGAAAGAGGGAACAGGGTTACGGGAGGGGGATGGTTATTTGGAAGGAGCATTAAAGTTGTTGGTTAAAGATGCATCTTTTAACAATTTCCGGAAACTTTGATGGGCAATGGGGCAATTTCATCCGCGTTTAGATGAGGATGTTATTTATTATGCCGCAGGAAATTTATCTTCCTTTGATCATAAAGAACGCCACTATATTCATTTGTCCGTAATAAGATATGCGCTTAATGCCACGTAGTTGATGAAAGATTGTCGATATTACGAAGGGAACGATAATTTACCGTTATCGAATCAGTTACTTAGTAATCGACTCGACGAATACGACTTAATACCAAGAAGAAATTTTCGAGAGATTTATATATCGATAAAAAAATACCTTCAAAATTTATCAATTTCTGAATAAACAACCGAATAAATTTTACACCAATATGCGATTGATCGATTCAAATTAATATAGAAACCAAACTGAATTCTCGTCTCTGGAAAAATCAAATCAATTATATCAATTACACCAATATATCTTATCCTAAAAATTAAAATCCCCATCCATTAAATAAAAATTAATCTTTTATCTCTCACATATCCCCAACCTAAAAATACTTCATATAACATTTCACGAATCGATGTAATATATTATCTCGAACTTATTAAAACATATCCCAACAAGGAAACAAATCACCATTAAATAAAAATTAATCTTTTATCTCTCGCATATCCCATATCCCCAACCTAAAAATACTTCATATAACATTTCATTTCAATCGATGTAATATATTTACCTCGAACTTAACAAAACATATCCCAACAAGGAAACAAATCACCAATATCAAACAAATCACGTGGGGCATTAATCGAGAATTGAGACGTATCCCGGATACATGGAACGTTCGTACGCGAAGTAACCAGGAATTCGACGTCGGTTCACGTATCCCCGGAAACCCCCTGTTTCCGGGACGGAAGCGGCAACGAAACAATCGGTGTTGGACGCGCGTAATTTCTCGTACCGCGATCATCATCGATGAGGCACGCGGCGGTCTGCGCCCTTCCACCTGCGCAATTCCACCCTGATTAGCCACCACGTAGCACGATACTCGGCCATATTTAACTAACTAATGCAGTTGCAAATTAGCTATTAGTAGGTGTTGCACACGGTGGCGGATAGGCGTAGCGTAATCAAATTAAACGGAATAGTTACTGTCTCCAGTGTCGGGATGGGGAGGGGAAGTACGTAACCCTGTTAGCCTAACTGCGCAAAGTGCGCGCGGATACGACGCTTGCTACGCCTGTGTACACGTTTACGGGACCGCGCGCGCGTGCAAGAGGGCGAGAGAACGCGTGCATTAGCGGGTGTAACACGGGTATAAACAGGGATGATGCATGGGGTGAAATCACCGCGGATCCCTCGGGGACGTTATCGGTGCCGGGGAAAATATTGAAAACGCGTGTCGAGGGAGGAGGGGGAGGAACCGTGGCCTGGAAAATCGAGTTCGACGGAGAATCGGTCGATAGCTTCCGAGAAAGGA